TCTGATCTCAGTTACTCTGATAAAGGATTTGAAGCAACAGTGCAATGGGGTGTCTCAAGTACTTGGAGAGGTCAAAGCTTGTGTGTAAACATTGAACCCTTACAGACTAGTGTCTGTTGTATCAAATATTCTATCAGTGAAATCTCTCGACAGATGTCATCTTGACAGAACTGCAGCATATAAAGTAGCTGAAGAGTAAAGGTGATGAGTGGTTGAGTTACCTCTAATGCCACAATGGCCCCACTCAAGAATTGCCTGAGTTGTTGACCTGAGCCCGTCTGTAGCCTAAATAATCATAGTAATGCGATCCAATAATTAATCTTATGTAATTTCTTCGCTTTATAAACTCTGCTCATTTGTAACTATAAGGAAAATTTGAAGTGCATGTTATCCCATTGTTAAGATTTCTTAGGAACAAGAAAACACTGATCCCTTTATATTTCTTGAATGTCCTAGTTTTAATTAATTTCAATTAAAATTAGTTTAGCTTGTACGATCTCAGAAAAAGTGGGGAGTTAGGGATGCGAACGACTAGTCAACTATCCGATAAGTAAATGCTTATTGGATGGTCAACAGAGTAGTCAACTAGTTGCTTCCCCCACCTTGCTGCCTCTATCAGAAAGAGGCAGCAAGGGGGAAAGAGCAGGGAGTGCTTCAAAGCAACAGCACCATGTGGGAACTCAACAGTCCTTAAATGACCCTGGCTCCATGCAGTGCTGCCACTTTGAAACGCTGCAGGGAGCACAGGGCCAGCAGGAGACTGGTTGAGTCCCCTGCTGGCCCTATGCTCCCTGCAGCACTTTCACCTTTGCTTTTTCACCCTGAGGCTCTTGCTACACTTCAAAGATGGAAGCGCCCTTATCGAATAGTTGATGCAAATTGTATCGACTATTCGATTAGCCAAATAATCAACATTTTACCATCCCTATGGGGGGGAGGGGAGGAGAGAGACAGAGACAGAGAGTGAGAGTGTGTGTATATATATTTTTTACACATACAAAACAAAGAATTCCTGCTTTAAGCACAACCTTAATTAACCCTAAAAGAATACTCACTGTGGCATTTCTAATGGCAGTCAAAATATCAATAGTATTAAGGCCACCTAATGGATCAACAGATTCTAAGGTTCTTCCAAATGTCTCATGAAAAATGTAGCAGATTCTAGCTCCACCACATCTAAAAAACAGAAAATTAAAATGGAGGTTACAAATGAGAAAGAGGAAAAAATATAAACTGCAAGATCTTTTGTGCCTAACCGCACTGAATATTTTAATGTTAACATTATCAGAGTATAAAGTCTTAAATATATTATGACTTGCTTTTACTATTACTACTGTAGTTTTAAAACAACATGATCCAGTGTCTCATTCCAATCATCACAATCTAGATTCTATAAATAAACAATTATACTTACAGCTCAGAAGTCTCTATATATTTTGCTGTTCCTTCAATAGTGTTGCAATATTCAGTGGCAAACTTGGTAATAAGCTGCAATAAAGTGGCACTCTTGTCCTCTACAGGTTCCCCATAGCTATTCAGCAGAGACTGATATTGAGCAGCTAAAACATTTATTCTAGTTTTCAGTTCTGGCAAGCAATCCCTGATATGATGCATTAGTAACCTGAAAATAAAAAAGTATAAATTCCTTTGTTAGAAAAAGAAAGGCATGGGAAGACATCCTCTTTAAACTTTCTAATCTCAAGCACAGCTTAAAATATAAACAACGATGATCAAATAAATATATTCTTGTGCAACAAAAAGACGATATTGTATAGAAAGAGCACAGTATTTGCAGATACTAAATTTTGTTACCAAATTCGAAGACACAGCCAAATGTTTCACTGTACAGCAGTAGTGCTTAAGGAATGCTAAAGATACAAATAATTTTAAAAATACTGTATGCAATACCAACATTTTTTTTTAAAGACTTTTTTGTTCATTATTTGCTTTTTCCATCACAATTAATCTGTGGTACCTGTTAAGTGTCCTAGCAAGATACTTGGTTCCATTTCGGTTGGCTAGAGATGGATATTTCTTTTGAAGAAAAGCATATTCATCACGGATAGAATCAGATACATTCTTCCTATTGTTAATATCTAATTGGCTCCTAGAGTAAAAAAAGAGAACTATTAGTTAATAAATGTAAGCCACAATTATTTTATTCGTGTTTTCACTTTTCTTGATAGTGCCAGCCCTATTCATCAGAACATCTGCCATTTTTGCCTTCCTTCTTAATCTATTTCCTCAACCATTTTCTCTGTGTCACTAACTACGTTTACCCAAGTTTCGTGAATATTTCCCTCCTGTCTGACTAGAAAGGTGGTGGTTCAGTGCCAGGGATGAAGACATGTAATCTCTTTTGAAGGTACTAGAAATGCTACTCTACGGACCAACTGGTTGGGGTTTGTGACAGACCCAGACCAGCCGTCTGCCATTCACTGGAATACATGCTGGAGCTTAGGTAAACAACTTTCTCTTTGGAGTTAAAAAAAAGGCCAAAACCTAAGTCCAACAATCAGGCAGGCACCTGGGTTCAATCAGAACTTGCTAGAAGCCACAGGCTAATTAAACAACTGCAGCCAATTAAAGCCTGTGGTGCCACTTTAAAAGGTCTCCCCCAAGGCAAGGAAAGGGGGAAGGAATAGAGCAAAGGACAGTAAGAAGGAAGTGCTGTGCGCAGGAACTGTGTGGGTGTGAATGGAGCACTAACAAGCATGTACCAAAGTATACATTATAAGTATAAAGTACTGGGAGGGACTGCTTGGGAAAGTGGCCCAGGGAAAAGCTACTGACTGAGAGTTGCAGTAACCCTACTTGTTGCCAGTGCCTTAGGGTCCCTGGGCAAGAATCTGGAGCAGAGGGCAGCCTCGGGTTCCCCCCAACACATCTCAACCTCTGCCTCGAAAAGGGAGATCAGGACTCCAGAGGGGGATTTACCCCACACTTATGAACTAGCCTGTAATGAGTATGGCTCAGTAAGCTGTGGCTCCTATTTCTAGTAAAAAGGAAGAGGCTGTGTGGAGGGCCACAGTGAGCCTCTGAGGCTAACACTAGTCACCAGTAGCGCGAGACCCATGGGGAATAGCTGGAGCTTTGCCACAGGTTGTACAATAGGTAGGAAAGCAATATGGGCTGTAGCCATCCCCAATAGACCATGCATGTACCCCCTTCATCAAAGCGGTATCAGCTCTCACATGGAAGATGTGAGGGGTAAAACAGACAAGAAGAAGAGCAAGCCCTTCCATCCACATAGCTGCCCACACGTTGAAACTAGGCCATTCAGAGCTTATTTCTTTCTATAATTAAATACAAATCCTACTATATATCTTAAAATGTCTTATTCTAACCCTCATGTGCCTATGCTTGAGAAAGCAAAGTATTCCTTCGTATTAAAAAAAAGATCCAGCTTTCAAAAGAACAAACTAATTGCCATCTTCTATACTCACCTGTTCACTATCCCAATTATGCCAAGTTTAACTGGAATCACTCTTCCCATAAGTACATCCATAGCATCAGTACCAGCATCCATGAGATCCAGCTTTGTGATAACAGCGAGCGTTCTTCGACCTATCAGAACAGCAGGAAAATTGTCATTTATAACAAGTGTATCAGTTTTAAGCAGTTTAGTAAGACAGCAATGGTCAGAACAAGAGAACTAGAACTCAGATGAGCAAGCTTGTAGGTTCTACAGAGCTCCTATTCCCTTCATAGAAAAAAAGGCTTGACTGTTGGGTTGGCTGGAAATTCAGGTCATTGACAGCAATGCCAGGAGCACTGTCAGTTGAGATGAGGTTAGAATGAGAGATACCAGGAAGTATTAGGCTCAAAAACTTACAGTTTTTTTAAATGAGTGCTGAAAAAGAGAGAGCCTTGGGCTAAACCTAAGTCTAGTCTTGACTTGTTTGCAACTGTACAAGGGTTATACTTGCAATGCTACCACTACATGAATGGCTAGAGGGGAAAAAACACTTATTTTATACACAAACAGATTTAACCAGTTTATAAAGTATGCCATCAGAACTTTATGCTTGGATACAAACATTTCTAGATATAAATGTGGAAAGAAACCAGTGTAGATACACTGGCTTTACTTATTCAAGAAATGCTTTAAAAACAAATAAAACAAGCTACCTTGGAGAGCCTTAGCATCTTAAATAGCTACTGGTAACCTAAGCAGAATTTGATGGGTTAAGTTTTGGGATAGGAGGCTACTGCAGACAAACCAGGTGCTGCAAGAAGAAAGAATTCACTGTTCAGTATTCTACCCAAATCTATACTGAACCAGCATCTCGTTCCTGCATTGGCTGTTGCTGAGCTGTTGCTGAAAGTGTCATCTTTCAAATGGATGCAGATCAGAGGCCCAGATCACTGGCATGCATTGAAAAACCCTACAGAACTTCTTACAAGAATAAGGACACATAATAATAGCTGCAGACAAGCACACCTGTTATATGCCTCAGACATTCAAGGCTGGGAATTATGGAAACTAGTCCTAGGATAACTGATCATATAAGGCAATACATAAAAAGCAGAATTTGTTGCCCCATCAGATAGCCCTAATTCAAGGAAAAACCTTGGAGGAGGTTCTTCACAGGGGTTAAGAAGGTGAGGCCTGGGAATGGAGCCCCTAAGGTACATTTACACTACCATTAGGCATTTGCATCTGGTTGATGTCAGATGACTTGGGCTCAGAGGGCTCAAGTTAAGGAGCTGTATAACTGTGGTGTAGAAGTTCAGACATGGTCTGCAGCACAAGCTCTGTAACCTCTCATTTGCTAGACCCCAAATGTCCACACCTCAAATAGCTCCTTAGCTCGAGCCCCGCAAGTCCATGTGAGCTTGCACATCCAAGATAAGGGAGGTCTGAATCACAGTTTAGACATACGATGAGGGGTTTTGCCTAAAGAGGTGCAAGCAGAGACTGCGTTCCTATGCCTGACACAACAGGAAAAAAAATCCCAGGCATAGAGCAGAAAAGTACTTGGAAGCCATATTAGTAGGGTGAAGCACTGAATATATTTTGTTTAATAATAAATGAAACACCAGAACAGGGAAGTGAGAGAGGATAAGTTTGTTATGAACTTCTGAACTTGCGGACTCTGAGTTGGGCTCTGAAGAACAGGGAGGCAGAGTTGCGCTCCGAACAGGTAAGGCAACTGCATGACAAGGATGTTAATCCCAGTGTCTTGGCATGATTTTAAGTTGAGTCATTACATTCACTAGCTCTACATATTTCTTCTATAGTTTCAAGTAAATATAATAACTTTAGCTCAGTGCTTCCCGCCAGAGCCAATGGGAGTTGCAAGGCTCTGTGGCTGTGGAACCTTTACATAAATAGATCAGAGCAGCCCATACGCCGCTCTCTCAAAATGGGCCTGCAGCCCACTTTTGAAAAACACTGCTTTAGCTCATTCAGCAGTTAAGAAAGTGATTCTCACATACATATAGGCAGTAAGTATGTAGAGTGCTTTAGGACTTATTTGGATCAAAGTCACTACATAAATGTAAATTTCTTGTATATTCAGTGCTCTGGAAAAATTCAAATCAGCATATTTTCCTGACAAATACAGGACACTGAAATGGGAAAAAATCTGAACACTAAATGCTTCCAAAAGTATTTTCTTTTCTTTTGAGAGAGCCAATTACTAGGTGCAGAAGTATGCATTTTCCTTGCTACAAGACAATTCTAGAGGAATAAAATGTGCGATCACCTACACAGTAATTCTCATGAAAGCAGTCTTCTTCAATGCAATTTTACTGCTTTGGAAATGGCAGTGGATTACATGATATATTAGAAGAGTAACAAGATCTGGACTGGCTTTGCCTGTGAGTCAGCAGGTCCCTAATTAACTACTACAGGCAGTCCCCGACTTACGTCGGATCCGCACTTACGAACAGTGCTTTTCTCGCCCCGGAGCTCACAGGCGGCGGGTCGCCACCCGTGTCCTCCGGGGCGAGAAAAGCTTCTCCCAGTCTCCCTGGTCTGCTGGGGGGGGAGGGGGCGCAGCTAGTGTGCCCCCCCCCCCCCCAGCAGACCAGGGAGACTGGGAGAAGCTTTTCTCGCCCCGGAGGACACGGGTGGCGACCCGCCGCCTGTGAGCTCCGGGGCGAGAAAAGCACTGTTCGTAAGTGCGGATCCGACGTAAGTCGGGGACTGCCTGTAGTCCCTATCTTGTACGTAACCCGGGGACTGCCTGTATAGGTTTGTTCTTAAGTTGAATTTGTATGTAAGTCGGAACTGGCTCCAGATTCAGCTGCTGCCACTGAAACTGACCAGGGGCTGACTACAGGAAGCCGGAGGCAGAGTTGCTCTGCCCCCAGCTTCCTGGAATCAGCCTGATCAGTTTCAACAGCTGCTGAATCTGGAGCCTGGGACAGAACAGCTGGAGTGCTGCCCGGTAGGTTCCCACAGGACCAACCCGGCAGCACCCCAGCTGCTCTACCTGAGGCATCCCACAACAAAAGCCTGGTCTGCTGGGGGGGGGGGGGGCACACTAGCTGCGCCCCCTCCCCCCCCAGCAGACCAGGGAGACTGGGAGAAGCTTTTCTCGCCCCGGAGGACACGGGTGGCGACCCGCCGCCTGTGAGCTCCGGGGCGAGAAAAGCACTGTTCGTAAGTGCGGATCCGACGTAAGTCGGGGACTGCCTGTAGTCCCTATCTTGTACGTAACCCGGGGACTGCCTGTATAGGTTTGTTCTTAAGTTGAATTTGTATGTAAGTCGGAACTGGCTCCAGATTCAGCTGCTGCCACTGAAACTGACCAGGGGCTGACTACAGGAAGCCGGAGGCAGAGTTGCTCTGCCCCCAGCTTCCTGGAATCAGCCTGATCAGTTTCAACAGCTGCTGAATCTGGAGCCTGGGACAGAACAGCTGGAGTGCTGCCCGGTAGGTTCCCACAGGACCAACCCGGCAGCACCCCAGCTGCTCTACCTGAGGCATCCCACAACAAAAGCCTGGTCTGCTGGGGGGGGGGGGGGCACACTAGCTGCGCCCCCTCCCCCCCCAGCAGACCAGGGAGACTGGGAGAAGCTTTTCTCGCCCCGGAGGACACGGGTGGCGACCCGCCGCCTGTGAGCTCCGGGGCGAGAAAAGCACTGTTCGTAAGTGCGGATCCGACGTAAGTCGGGGACTGCCTGTAGTCCCTATCTTGTACGTAACCCGGGGACTGCCTGTATAGGTTTGTTCTTAAGTTGAATTTGTATGTAAGTCGGAACTGGCTCCAGATTCAGCTGCTGCCACTGAAACTGACCAGGGGCTGACTACAGGAAGCCGGAGGCAGAGTTGCTCTGCCCCCAGCTTCCTGGAATCAGCCTGATCAGTTTCAACAGCTGCTGAATCTGGAGCCTGGGACAGAACAGCTGGAGTGCTGCCCGGTAGGTTCCCACAGGACCAACCCGGCAGCACCCCAGCTGCTCTACCTGAGGCATCCCACAACAAAAGCCTGGTCTGCTGGGGGGGGGGGGGGCACACTAGCTGCGCCCCCTCCCCCCCCAGCAGACCAGGGAGACTGGGAGAAGCTTTTCTCGCCCCGGAGGACACGGGTGGCGACCCGCCGCCTGTGAGCTCCGGGGCGAGAAAAGCACTGTTCGTAAGTGCGGATCCGACGTAAGTCGGGGACTGCCTGTAGTCCCTATCTTGTACGTAACCCGGGGACTGCCTGTAATGTATCTCAGCATACTTAGAAGCTTCCAAGCTGCACAACCTACAATTGGAAAACGTTATCTTTTAAAGTACAACAAATGTTTTCTGAGAAAATCCACTCTCAAAAACCAAATACCATTTTCTCCAAAATTTTAATTTGATTCCTATTTTTTTCTAGGAAAATCCATTTTAAGAGAAATGCTAAAATGCAGACGCCAGTGTGTCTTGTTGCTTACCATCTGGATCTACCTCCCGTGCAATTTTAAGTGCCTCTGACGTAGCCATGTCTGTGTTGGCAGCTGTGACTGCCAGAATAATTGAATTTGGATTACTAATAAATCGAAGGATTAGTTCTCTGATTTGTAGTTCAATGTCCTTAGGCTGATCACCCACAGGCACCTAAGGGAAACAAACAATATAGAACAAAGGTGGGGTGAATTATGCAAATCCCAATCACACATTTCTCTCTATTAAATATGTAACAATATAACATTTAATTTCTCTGGACTAGAATAAAGTTTGAAACCAGGTTAATGAAGATAGTATAAGAATGGTGCACAATAAGAACCAAACACTAGGGACGTGAAGGTGTAAACTGTTAACCAACGAGCCTCGGCTCATCAGTTAACGTTCCAGGATACACACAGCACTCCCTCCCCACACCATGCACGGTTGCCACTGTATCAGAGGCAGCAGTGTGGGAGGGAGTGGGAGAAAGAAACAGCAGCATGGGGATGAAGGGTAATAGTGGAGGCAGAGCCAGGTTCATGTGAGCCAGTGCTTGCAGAAAGTGTCCTTAAAAGTCAGCTTCCCACAAGTACCGGCTCCCACAGAGCTGCCTGCCCTCCCGCACTACTGCGTTTCTATCAGAGGCAGTGTGGTAGTGGCAGTGGAGGCGGGAGCAGGTGTTCCCAGGGAGCTGGCTTTTAAGCTGGCTCCCTGTGGGCACCGGCTCCCGTGGAACCGCTTTCCCTGTCCGCCCAATGCTGCTGCCTTTGATATAGAGACAGCAGCACAAGAGGTGGGGAGGTGCGGGGGAAACAGTTCCACATGAGCTGATGTTCGAAGGAAGTCTGCTTAAAAGCCAGCTCCTGTGCATAAACATGAGCTGATGCTCGAAGGAAGTCTGCTTAAAAGCCAGCTCCTGTGCATACTGGCTTCTGTATGATCTCCCCCATTCTGCTGCCTCTCTGAGGTAGCAGGGGAGTGGGAGCCGGTACTCGCGAGGAGCCAGCTTAGAAGCCAGCTCCCCATGAACACTGGCTACCACTTGCATCCATGCGTGTAAATGTGTAACCACTAAAAAATTCAGTGATTACACTGACACATTTTTAACATCCCTTCCTTAGCTGATACCAAAGTGCTGCTACTTAGCTTACCTGCTATCTCTATAGCATTTCCAGTTTTCTTAGGGTACATCTACCCTGAAAACAAAAATCTCACAGCAGCAAGTCTCAGAGCACAGATTTACACACCCAGGCTACTAAGCTTGCCACTGTAGTGCTAAAAACAGACATGTAGACATTCTGGCTTGGCCTCTAAAGTCCTACTCCCTCCTCAGCCTTCAGAGTCCAAACAGAATGATGGCATGTTTATCTTTACAGCCCAATATGAAGAACCAGGCTCAGACTCACTGCTGTGGTTTGTTTTTTGCCATATAGACATAACCTTTATTGACTAGAGAAATGTAAGAAAACCCTCTCTTCTCTCCCCTCATCAGTGTACAGCACTTCCAAAAATCCAAATTCTAATCACATGGTAGGAACACAATTCCAAAGCCATGCAGAATTTTTGGTCAACTCGTGGTACAAAATGGTACTAAAACAGGTCATTTTGCCCCTATCAGAAATACTCTACCTGCAATAAAACAAAAGTTAAAACTCAGTTTCTTACCTTTGTCATTCCCGGCAAATCCACAAGAGTCAGATTAACAACATTAGGTGAAAAAATTTTAAGGTGAATAGGTTCAGGACTGATCCCCTAGAAATACATTAAAATGATCAAGAATTAGAGTTAGAAGATTTGTTTACCTAGAACTAACCCATAGACAGCCAATTCTTTATTAACAGGGCGTGACAAATTATAGAAAAACCTACTCGCCAGACAAAAAAGGGACTTGCCACCTCCACCACGTGACCCCACCATGCAGGTGTGGACCACCCGGAGAATGGGACAACCAGGACAGCATGTTTGCTTCTGTGATGGGGCGGGGCTGCTCCGCAGTGGCGAGGACGACCCGCCCCGCACTTCAACGGCGCTGACCCCAGTGCTGTACGGGGAGCGCAGCGTTCTGACAGCGTTCTGAGTCACTTGCTCCTGAGCGGCGTGTAGGGGGGCCAAGTCCTGGGACAGGAGCCGGAAGTGAGGGCGGGGCCGTACGCGGGCTTAGAGCGGGACCAGAGTGCACGTGCGCCCCTGACATCGGGGGAGAGGCACCGGAGCAAGAGAGCGCCACATTCAAAAGGGGAGTGCCCCTGACATCGGGGGAGAGGCGCCGGCGCAAGAGAGGGCCACATTCAAAAGGGGAGCAGAGGAGAGAGGAAAAGAAGAGGGAGGAGAGTAACAGAGGGAGAGGGGAGAACAGAGGAGTGAACTAGAAGATGGCGGTGGGCAGAGAAGTGAAGGGTGAGAGCGGAGGGGAACAGGAGTCGGAGGAGGTCAGAGAAGGCAGGAGGGAGATGGGGAGTGGGGCAGAGAGCAGAGCATGGGGGCAGAGGACATAAAAGGAGAAGCAGAGGTAGGAAGCAGCCCAGAGCAGAGACCCTCCGTTACTCTCCTCCGTCTCTTCTCCCTTCTGCCTTCCTCCGCTGCTCTCCTTTTGCATGCGGCACTCTCTTGCACTCGTGCCTATCCCCCTGATGTCAGGGACACATGCACAGTCTGGCCCCACCCCCACGCCGCTCAGCTGGGCGGCCGCACGGAAACAAGAGGCGCAGACCGCTGTCAGAACGCCGCGCTGCCCGTGCAGCACAGGATCAGCACTGTTGAAGTGCGGGGCGGGTCACCCTTGCCACAGCAGAGCGGCTCCACCCCATCACAGCTCGCCAGCTGCCAAAATCTACTTGTCATGGGTAAGTGGATTTGTCGAGCCCTGTTTATTAAAACTGAACTCCTACAGAGACCACTACACAAAAGTTTGTCCAGAAATAAAGTAATTAGTTTATCAACCAATTTCTTGTGTGCAAAACTGCCTTCTCCCAGATGATGCACAAAGCAACTTTTACATTTCAGCAACTGCACCTATGCACATAAATATGGCTGCTGATTCTACAAGCTCAACGAAGTGACACATTCACACAAAGCTGTATATATGAACAACATATGGGTTTAACTTAGGGAAGTGGAAGCTATGTCTTGTGGCACTACCACTTCAAAACTGAAGTAAAGTCTGTTACCCAGAATTCTGCCACCACAATCATTTCATAGTGCTGCTGGTGTCACCTCAGAACTACACGAGCTAGTTAGTGGATCCACTAGATTATTTACTGCGCTCTGGGGTTGTAACAGGCTCTCTCAACTTTTAGCTCCCAGGTTTTCTGCAAGTGTAATATGGGGTGTTTGCCCCACATTAGCCCCAAAAGGGTCAAGGAAACAGAGAAAAGGCCAATTAGTGACCATGCATGAGAAGTTTAGTCTGGCAAAGCAATCCCTGATTGGAAGACATCACTCAGCCTAGATGACAGTTGGGATACTAGAAAGCCAGGAAGTCACCAAAATAAATGGCTGCAGTGACCCTCCGTGCCTTAGAGAGGGAAGGAATCCAAGGAAAGAACAGACTCCTGGCACTGAAAGAAGGGTGTACCTAGCATTGAGAAGGGCAAAGGAGAAAACCTATGGGAGATAAGTAGGAAGCAACCCAGGGAGAGAAATTGGGACTGAGTAAATGTTAACTGCGTATTGTAGAGTCCCTGGGCTAGAACCCAAAATAGTGTGAGGGTCTGGGTTTCCCTTCCCAGCCACAGAGGTAGTAACATTGCCTGGACAGCAAGTCTACTGAAACTCTATACCCCAGAAGGGGAAACCACATAGTGAGTTGGCTGCAGAGCTGCAACTCAAAGAGGAAGCTACAGTCTTTGGAGTAATGAAGGGGCTAGCGAGTGAAAATCATGACAACAGGCTTAGATGCTGCAGGGAGAAATACTGGACCCGGAAGACAGCTAATCCCCAGAAAAGGTAGGAGGAGGTTGTGACAGCGCATTGGGGTTTTCCCGTCTCCTGCACCCCCGTAATGGCACGGACAAACTCCACCAGCCAGTAGAATAGAGGGAGTTTATTGCTTCTCCAGGATATAGCACAGCAAAGATGTAATCTGGTTATATGGCAGGCCTAGGATGCCTCAGCCCCCCTTGAGATGGGGGAGACTGAGCCCCTAAATTCCAGCCCCTTTCCCTAGGCTGTCTCCTCCATGCTCCCAGACAGAAACTAACTTACTCACTTCCAGCCCTGCCCCCAGCCAGGGCTCCACTCCACTTCTTCCCATTGTTCCGCTCTCTCGGAGATAACTCGTCAGACAGGTTTGAAGCCCCCTTGCATAATGACTCATGCCCTGCCCTGCCCTGCGGGGCCGTGCTGCAGACAGCAGCCACTGGAGGTCACTCACAACCCAAGCCTAGCAACCAGCAACGTACCCACACTACGTCACAAAGGTACCCCCAACAGTGAATACCCCATGAGAGTAAGGAATTTTAGGAAGTGTGATATTCTGTGAACGAGAGGTTAATCCATCTTGTACCCACCTTATTGTTTCCTGAAATCCTCTCCGTTTCACTTTCTATTTCTTGTCGAATCTCATCAAAATCTGTATAGAGCTAAAATACAGAAGCAAAAATAATTGCAAGTCAGACAGCAATGTCTTTATTGCAGATGTCTTTATTAGATACGAAGAGAGAGATCAATATCTCACTAAAATGTTTCTTGCCAACAAAGTGATAAATACTGAAAGTATGCACATAAAAGGCAAAACTAATCCTCGGCACTATCTTACAATGCTATCAAAGTGAATATTAGTAGATGGAAACAGGTTACTGAGTAATAATATTCACCTGTGGCTAAAGTAGGCAGCAGAAGTTATTACTGGCTACCAAGATCTCATTAAGGGGAAAGATTTATCCACAATAAAGTGTTTCAACTATATAGTTTAATATGGATGAAAATTTTAAGCCTTTGAATTTTTAAGATGAGTAGGCTCACATCACGTCACCTTATGTGTCTCCCACGCACCCTGTTCTCTAGACAACTACACCATGCCCAGCCAATCTTCCCTGGTTTGCTTCCACAATCTGCAACCACTCTTCCTGCCTTACCCAGAACTTCCCCAGTTCAAAATTAAATAAACAGAGCTGTGTCATCCAGTCTTCCATCCTTCCTGGTTCCCCATATTTTTATGTATCCTTGTCATTCTCCGCACATATTTCTCCATCTCTGGCTTTGCCAGAGCAGTATAAAAAATTCAGAGTCAATGGCAAATCAACGAATAGTTAGAAAATAATTTCACAGATGCTGAAGTGGAGTTCTATATATGTGTGAAAAATCACCTCTATGAATGGCCTAAGCCATAACTTCACAGAATAAAAAAAAGGGGAGAAAGACAACACAAAATATTAGTCTGCTACATCTCTTCACAGTTAATTTCTTCTCCTTGATCCCAAGTACAGGGAGTCAAAACTGGGATCTCTTCAACTCACTTCAAAAACATCAAGATCAAAACAAAGTCACCATCTCAAGGACAGTTTGCTTCAACCTAGGGAGACAAACTTTCCTTACTACAGAAAGGCTCTTAAGCCTTTAATAGTTGGAGAAGCTTTCTATTTCTTTCTATCCCTCCTCTAGGCTATGTCTAGACTACATCTCTCTGTTGGCAGAGGGATGCAGATTAGGCAGGGATGCAGATTAGGCATTTTGATGCTTAATTTGCCTAAAATGGCTGCTGTTTTTACCAACTCCGCACTTTGTCAGCAAAAAGTGGCAGCTTAGAGGGGGATCTGTCAAAAAAGGCTTTCTTTCTCGACAGATCCCCCTCTAGACTTCCACTTTTTGCTGACAAAGTGCTGAGTCGGCAAAAACAGCAGCCATGTTTATACAAATTAAGCGCAGGATATTTAAATCCCCGCTTCATTTGCAATGTCGACCTGCCTAATCTGCATCGCTCTGCTGACAGAAGGACACAGTCTAGACATATCCCTACAGTCTTCTATTACTTTCCTTTTACACCTCTGCTCAAGTTACTCTCTAGTTAATGCCTTCCCTGAATATCATAATGTAGAGGAATAAAAATAATTTGTGATGGTGTATGTATATACCTTTGCACATTCTGCTCAATGCCTCACAAAAAGAAGCCCCCCAAAAGCAAAGCCAATAGTACATATAAATGTTTAAGCCTAGGCATTCAGGCAAGATGAGTCAAAATAGCAAGTTCAAGAAATTTAGAAAAGAAACAACCAGAGACACTAACTTTATCCTTCCTTTTCTGAATTTAAAAAACACCACAAACGACCCTTAAGAGGCGGGGAGGGGAATCTACCTTGGCATGAAATACAACATGCAGAGTTCATCCCTTTTAGAAGTTGATGAAGGAGAGAGGGTTGGGATTGAACTTCATGCTTAAAATGGAAAGCTATCTTCTAACTCTGAAGGAGCTACCGCCACTTCACAGTAAACATACCTTATTTTTGGTGTGAAGGAATTTACCCCATTCTTCAGCATCAATCCCTGAAAATAAACAAATAGCCAAGTTAGGGCGAAAAAAAGTTTCATTTTCAAAGACTCCCTATTAAGAGCATAAATATCTTAGTGTCTTTTGCACTTGAACAGTTTGTTGAAAACCAAGATAATGTTTTTCTTTTAAAGTAAATTCAAAAGTTAATCTGCTTCCTATTATAAGAAATTAAATGGTTCTAAATACATTTAATATTCTGCATCACATTTGAAATTTTAATTTGTAGTTCTGTTGCCTAATTTCCATTTTCTGAACAACAGATTTGATTAAAAGTGACTCATTTTTCTATTCTAGAGGTACAGTACCCAGAAATACTCTATTTAATATCTTATGATGGGGGAAATAAAACAACTTTTCACAACATCCTTTTTTGCCTACAATTAAGCATACATATAGTGCACACATAACAGGTTTTGAAGAATGGTCTTTTTATGAGGTGTGATCACATTACAGCTGAAAGAAATAGTTAAAAAAATCTGCAAGCAAAAAAACCAAGTAGAATACTTATGTATTGTATAACAACGAAACCTAGGGGCACAAGTCTTTAAGGCCCAATTCTGTCATAGGCAAAGCATCCTTAGCCACACTGACTTCAACAATGGCTGGCAATACTCTGCTTTTCAGGATCAGACTCAAAAACAGCAAAGGAGATGCAGAAGTGGCCTTCTACTTAAGGAGACTTGATAGCAAGCTCCATTTTTTAACTGATATTGCATTTCAAATGCCCAGTTTCTCTATATGGAAATCTTTTCTAGAAAGGAATCAACAAGAACTTTGCTTAGTATTTGCTCATCCAAATACTGCTTATCTAAAATTAAGTACCATTCAAACTGTTTCATTCTGGTGGGTGTCCCAAAAGCTACTCACCAATACAGATTAAAACACATTTCATCACTATAAAATTAGGAAGTTATATGATAAAGCAACACATTGCAAAAGAAAAGCTATTCATCCCCTACATGCTAATGCACAGCAAAGACAGAAATTACTAAAATTGAAAAAAGCCACAAGACCGACCAAAATAGCCATCAGTCAACAGAATAGCTAGTGTGTTAAAGTAAAAGTGCAGTCAGCAATAAAGTGGCATGAAATGCAAGTAGTTAGAATATATAAACATGCAGATGTGTAGGGAGAAAAAGCAAGTGGCTGAAAGAAACCTTTAGTAAGGTGTCTTGGATTTTTCCATGTAGCAGGGTCTGCAGTTAAACAGAAACAGCATTGAATCAAGTTTAGTATTGGTCATTAAGTTTTACATAGCACTCGCTTTACCTTTCTGTAACAGACATAGGTGGATTATAAAAGCATGCATACAGACATGCGTGCTATTCTACTATTAATGAAAATGCATAATGCATTGTCACAATACACCATACACAAATCTCAAACACTAATCAAATATATTGTCATGTATTTTTTGATGTCATTATTACTGATGATCATCTTAGAATTATTAGTTTTGAAGTACTCTGAAATCAAAGACATAAGACTTTTGGTTCAACAGAGCAATTTGGAACATCACTCTATAAGGGGCATTTCTCACATTGGATAAGCTATAAACTATTTAAAAACAAGGTTTTAAAATAAGTGCATTTTTTAAAGTATTGTTGAAGGTTAATGTGCTTTAGAGAGATCAACAACAACGATTTATCCAGAATAAAGTTATGCATGACAATTTCCTGTACATCAATGAGAAACTCATGAAAATAAAAATAAGCTGGACATAATGGCCAGAAATCTGAGATGATTTAAAAAAAAGAGACAGTGCCAGGTAATTTAGACCTTAAAAATATAGGTATAAAAAAAACCCCAACTTTCTCCACATCCTATATCTCTCTTTAGAACATGAAGGCTGTTTTCTCAAACCACCACTGCTGGGAATGGAGGAAGCCCAGCAGTGTCATAAAAGACTATCAGAAACCCAAGATCTTCCAGGTTGAGACAAGAACAGAAAGTACTTCCCAAAATAGTCAGGAGCAGTACCACTGCTGCATGAAGAGGCCCAGTTGGTCTCCCAGCTCTCTTCTCAAATACTTTTCAATTCCCTAAACAACAGCAGACAACTTCTTATAAGCTGAAATCAAGACATTATTGCTTCTGTTTATTCATCTCTTCATTCCACCCCATAACAGCAGCAAAATAAATAAATAGAACTGAAAAGACACATGCCCAGCTTCATGAACATAGCAGCCATACTAGGTCAGACCAAAGGTTCCTCTAAGCCCAGGATCCTGTCTTCCAACAGTGGCCAATACCATATGCCCCAGAAGAAGGGAACAAAACAGGTAATCATCATGTGATCCCTCTCTTGTCACCCATTTCCAGACAATGATGCTGTATCAGTTATTTCACCCTTTGTCTTTTTAGATAATAAATTCTCTGCACCAGGAACTATCTTCCTTTGCTCTTATACAACAACCAAGCACAAGGGGCCCCAACACCTAACTGGGTTTGCTGGCTGTTATTGAGATAAATAGCACTTGCTTCAGATATCACAGTCCTGTTTGGTGGTACCAATATGAAAAGCTGATAAAATAATGTTGCTTTAGTATCAGATTCTAGATATAGACTCTGGCTCCTATGGTCTCCTAATAACTATTCAGTAAGGACAGTAACATTTAACTTCCCACCCCAGATATTAAAATAATAAAAGTTACTAAACTGATCTGTCATACATCCTCTTCCACATCCCATCTGCTAGCAAAACAACGTATAATTGCAAAAATGATTCTTAGCAGCAAGATAAATTTAGTAATTAATGAGGGCAGAAATTTCACAGAGATCTTTCAATTGCTTTCTTTAACCTATAATTCAATAGAAAACAATGCACTGTGCTACTGCCACAAATATGTCACATGGCTATCAAGAAACAGAACTACTGAAGACGTCTGCTCTGACCAAACCAAAAATCTCTCTCAAACCTCACTATAAAGTGAGAGTTACGGAGCTGATGTGTCTCAGTCAGATATGGTGATGCGAAAATACAATGCTTAGTCCTTCACTTCTAATAGGCTTTGTCTACACTTAACAGTTTAAAATGCAGCTGTAGCAGTGCTTTAATCTGAAAGTGTGGTCACAACACAAGCACTGGGAGAGAACTCTCCGACCACTGTATGTGAACCACCTCTGCAAGGAAAGCAGGTAACAGCTTGGATCACTCTGGCGCTTTACAGCACTGTTTGCTGAGCTTAGGGGAGACAGTGTGATGGATAGGAGGAGTGCTAGCCATCACCTGGTGACTAAGGGGTTAAACTCAGGTAGCTAGCAATGATATTGGTAGGGGCCCAGAAGAACCAATGAGATTATGGTGCTAAATTTTATAAGATACCTTGCCTGCTTTCTTTGTGTGGGGAAGTTAACCCAGGAGTTGAGACACACAGAATGATTTAAACCCAGGGAGGATTACCTCCAAGAAATTTGGGGCATGGAAATGGACTGAACCAGAAAGGGAATGAGAGTAAATAAAGGGAAACATGTATTTAGTCACTATTAGAGTATTTTTCTTTATTTTTGTGGTTTGGTTTGAACTGTTCTGTGAGAATCTATGCCTCCCCTCCCCATTCACTATCTAAGAATTGTTTCCCCCCCCTCCTCCCAATCCTCCCTCAGAGGCAGCAAAGGGGGGAGGGTTGCATGTAGTCATTCAGATTAACCGCTAAGCCTAGGCTTATCAATTAATCATTTAAACAGCTATACATTAACATGTAAAGTCAAAGGATATCAAAATGAAATTAGCATAATTTGAAAATAGAGGTTATTTCCAACTGCCTGCATGGTCATTACTTTAATGTATTTACCTTCAGCTGTTTCTAAAAAACAATATTATTCTGCACAATAATATTAAGATCTGAAAAAAAGTACAATATGTGGCAATCCAGAAGACTTTCAAGTACAAAACAAGGGAGGAATTTTCTCAGTGAATATACCTAGGCTGAAGATAAATGTGTTTGTAAAAGCATATGTATAAAAGCCTCACTTTTGGAACTAAGGTGTGTATAATTTATACATAAATTTTAGAGCATAAACTTTTGAGTCAATATTAACACAATACAAGGAGCCATTATTTATGTTTATGGACATCAAGAGTTCATTACCATGTTCAGACTAGAACAGTGAACCAATGCAGAAAATGAAGACTTCCTGTATAAGATTCAGAAAAATAGCAGAAAAATCTCTCCTCACTTAGGGACAATATATGCCACTTTGATGGTCAAATATTAAATTTATTTTCCTCATTCTAGTTTATCCTAATTATGGGTATACCATGATATTTTTTGCCCAAGCTAATAAGCACATTTTAATGGTGATTTTGCAAGTTTACTTTTTTTTTTTTTTTTTTTTAAGCAAATGCAGTACAGGTTGAACCTCACTAGTATAGCACCCTCAGGACCTGACTGGTTCTGAACAAGAGAATTTTCTGGATTATGGGAGGTCAATATTGTCTAGCAGCATTACCAACATGTCCACTGCTTATTGTGCTGCTAACACAACACTGAGAGCTAGGACTGGTGGCTATAAACAAATTTTATAGGACCACAGGAAACTTGGCCACACCCACGAAGTGGACATCTGGCTAACTAAAGTCATTCCGGACAATGGATGTTTCTGGACTAGAGAGTTTCAACCTGTATGTCAATGTATTTTCTGACCAGATGCTAAAATATGCTTAGAGAATAGATTTTCATAAGATCTCTGATCAGAAACATAACTTACTAGGCTGGAGTAGCTGGGAGTAACTATAACGCTGTCGGTAATATGAAATTCTCTATTATACAATAAATGTCTAACATTTCAGATTGCCCACCATTCTTTCAGAAATGTCATATGTGCTTTTCTGTGCCCTGAGGACTGTGATATTATGGGCTGGATTTAAAAATTGTTAACACTTCATATGTCTCCTGGTAAGATGCCTCTAACAATTTTGTAAAATTGGTAGCTAGCCTGTGACCTTATCTGGCACACTAACAGGTAACCAACTAAACCGACTACAGTCAAGCGCTACAGGGTTAGTTCCATGAAATGCACTTCAGTGTTAGCTGTGTAGAGTTCTATCATTAAAGTTACAGAGTAGGGTAAACCAAGTAGTAATTATGTGCACATGTCAAAGAAATTCAAAAGATATCAAAACATAACATGCTGATAAAGTGTACATAAACTTTTATACATTGAATTTGTATTTCCTGTTACTTTCAGCAACAATATTAGGAGGTTGAACACCTTCATCATTTCCCTGGTAATAGCAATTTTACAAGTAACAAAAGATACCCAAAAAAAGGACATTAATAAATTAGAACAAGTAACAGACTTCTAAAATCTTCATTTAACATTTTCCTCTCAAAAAACAAAAACAACAAACAAAAAAACCCCTGAAGTTTTAAAAAGGAGCTTTATTTAAAATCAAGGAAAAGTAACAATTTTATTTTTTAAATCTATATAAATAAATAAAATAAATAAATAAAACCAGGCCATAAATGCATATGTTTTAAATAGCAAATGAAAAGACTTTTTGCTATGACTAATAATTCTAGAGGTCTCACTCTTACATCGACAGAGTATTACTTAATGCACAGTGAAACTGGTCCAATTCTCACAGGATAATGGAGTTGACATGTGTGATCTGCCAAGGGATAATAAGGAGTAATTAAAAGACACTACAGCTTTAGACTAGACAAGATTTAGAATAATTTAAATCATCCTACTTTAATATGGCTTAGAATTTCTCAATACAGCTTAGTAAAATGATATCAATAAGCCACTGGACATTCCAATTAAGTTTTTTAAACTAATGAAAGTTTGTTTTTGCAATCCTCAGTCCACTATTTTTTCCATTGTACATACATTCTTTAACCCCTCTCCACAGTCATGTACTTAAAATTCAAAATGAGGTTTTATTTATCAGCAGGCACACCCTATGCAATCACTACCAGCCAGATACCATTATATTCTTGCCTCACAGGTGCTCACTGCGTACAAGGGAGAGAACAGAAGACAGACCTAAAATATGTAACTGCTAAGAAGAAAAACTGAAACACCATTCTCCTAACTGCCAAAGCTTTTGCAGCTTCTGTTGTATGAGCTGAATAGGTGGTGACAATGGCCGTATTTTCTCAACACAATATGTATAAAATAAGTCTCAAAGGAATAAGAAAAAAAGTGCAAATAAATTTTCAAGTTAAAGTTAGCGATTTCTTTCCCCCACTTGGCTTAACTGCACAAAAGACAGATTCACAAGTTGTTTCTTTTTAAAAAGACAAGTGCATAGACAAATGAAGATTAAAATCCTAGTTGGGTCAGTCTTACCATTTTCATCTCCAGATGTTTTCCGATTATCCTCTGCTGAAACATGCACCAGCTGCAGGATAAGGGGTCTCCGGGTGACAATTCCAGTACCTCTTGGGAGCAGATCTCTCCCCACAAGACTTTCCAGCACTGAACTCTTTCCACTGCTCTGAAAATTGAAACACATCTGTGACTTTCTTAAATACCCATTACTGCAATGCTGTAATATAACCTAGTAAAATTTTATTTTATTTAAAAGGAAACAACTGTCTCCACAGATTTTTTTTAATTATCTATCTTACCAACCTTGAAGTAGCATTTTAAGAACATTAATTTTAATAACCTTTTGGAAAGAACTGAAAAGATGTTTGTACTTTAACTTCTATAAGCAATTCTGTATCTTCTGGTGTGACTATTCTGTAATAAGTCACAACAACACTACCATGACTAACAGTAGTGTAGGGGGTTAATTCTCCTGGCTACACTATGATGGAAAAAACATGTTAAAGATGTTTTGCATCTGAGTAGTTATCCTTTCTACATCAATGAATGAACTATGGTCTTGAAGAGCAAACTTGAAAGAGAACAGAGTATATTATACCATCTTGCAAAGTGATCATGGAAATGTCTACCACAAGCAGAATTTCACAAGACTATTTTACACTTTTTGGCAGAAAACTCCACAGATTGTCCAAAAGACAAGATGCATCAGGTTTGCAATCCATCAGCATCAGATGACAAAACACAGCAGTTAAGAAATACTTTCACTTAGACCGCACAATCCCAAATTATCTTTGTGTGACACTATTTGTCATTTCCCTCTGGAGAGGTGCTGGCAGTAGGACAGCCAGCAGTGGAGAACTGACCTCCCCTGATCCAGCAAATTTCCTGGTCCAGGATAGCATAGGCCCCGAGGGTGCCAGACCAGGGAGGTCCAACCTGTACATTATTTCAATTCACTACAATCCTGGATTGACGGTTTGGGGAGTTGTTTTTATTATGACCACACATTATTCAATGTGTCTGTACTTTTTAGCTGAGGAGGTAAGAGTACAGCTAAAAAGGTATTTAACATCCCTACTCAAATTCATTGATTTCCAGAGTTTAACAAATTAACCAATAAGCTGAGGCTCATCAGTTAATGGTATCAGTTAAACTCAGACAGCTCCCCACTCTGATGTTGGGAAGGAGGCTTCACTGATAGCAGGCTCTAGTCCCAGGGAAAAGGCTTCACCCCAGACTCTGCAATATAAAGCTAATCTTTATAGTTTAGAGGCCCCAGTGCAGGTAATCAATAACATTTTTAGCAGTTACACGGTTACCGGATTACAAGATTTTTAACACCCCTAAATTTGAGTCCCCAAATTTTCACCCACCATTATGGTATTTAATAACCATTTCAGCATATTAATAAAGTCCTGCTACAGATAACAGTTCTTTGGAAAATTGTAAAAGCATGGTACGAACACATGATTTTTAAAAATTGGAATGTGAAACATGCAGTATAGATATACCATCTCATTAAACTTGTTGCCTGTTTTGAAGGAAGAAATTACAAACCTTCAAGTAATGAGCTATTTGGGGTTCATTTATGCATCTATACTAGGGATGTCAATGTGTAGTTAACTATATGGTTAACTGATAAGCCCAGGCTTATCAATTAATCTTGTCGACTACATAAATTCCCCCTCCCTTCCCAGGCAGTGAGTGGGAGCAGGCAGAAACCAGCTTAAAAGACGGTTCCCCCCAGCACCACCTCCACGATGCCACCTGCCCACCCTCCCTTCTCCTGGTGCCTGGCAGCAACACGGGAGCAGGGGGGTCAAGCTGCCACAAAGCAGCCTCTGTCCAGGATGAGCCTGGGTCTGCCACAGGCAGAAGCTGCTTCACAGCAGCAGCCCCAATCCGTGGGCAGGTCCACCACGCTCTGCATCCCTGCAGCCTCTGTCCGTGGGGAGCTCGGACCACCTACAGACAGGGTCTGCTGCCACCCCACGCTGCTGCTTCTGTATCCAAGGCTGCAGCACAGGGTGGCTGGCAGTCAGTCAGTCTGTGGAGGGAGCTAGTTTTTAAACAGGCTCCCCTCGTGGACCAGCTCCTACCTGCCAACCTGAACTGCTGCCTCTGATATGGAGGGGGGCTGTGTGTAACCATGAGAGTTAACATGAGTACACGTTCACATCCCTAAACTGCATATTCTGAGTCAGTATTTTAATCCTTAAAAAAAAAAATCACATTAATGATACAAGAAACCATGAAAAAGCCAATATTGACCACCTTGAGATGTTTAAAATAAATAGTTAAAATTCCGTTTTTCTAGCTGACCCCGGGCTCCGTATGGTGCTGCCACTTTGAAACGCCACAAGGAGCCTGACGCCAAGCTCCCTGCAATGTTTCAAAGCAGCAGCACCGGAGGGAGCCCAAGGTCAGCGGGGGAGTCCCCAGCTGACCCCAGGCTCCACTCAGCGCTTTCACTTTTGAAGTGTAGCAGCAGCCATAGTGCTGTTGCTACACTTCAAAGGTGGTGGTACTCTATCAACTAATAGAACACACAATGCAAAATGTATCAACTATTTGATTAGTAAATTACTCACACTAACACCCCTAACCCTGCATCACGACAGGCTTCTGCCTCGAGCAGCCCTTAAAGATGGTAAGATGACTTGTTCCACTGGATTTCAATCCAGGGCCCTGCTGTCTCTCCTCCCTGGATCATGTCCTACCAGATCCCTCTTTTCCCAATGGCTAACGCAAAACTATGAAATAACTGAAATCAAACAAAGTCTAAGACGTTCTGAGAGCTTCAAGTCCCTTCTCTGAGGGGTTTAGCAAAGGTGCTACAGCCAGTGGCAACTCCTGTAGTGCTCCATCCAAAGAGACCAGAGCGTAAGTTTTCTCCCCAACTGCCATTCAGCTACTGAACTGATCTGCTCCCATTTTAAGTTCCTCCTCCAGTCTATACATGCTTTGCAAGTGAGGTGGGCAAGGCTGCGTAGTCCCTTTATTTTGTAATAAAATATGCACATGGGAAATGATTGTGGAATAGATACTAGAAGAATAGCTAACTACACAATAGCTATTCCAGTAAACTTTTTTATGTATCCAAGCCCTAAATTGAATTGGCTGTACAAGACTAACAAAAAGGGATGTTAGTGATGTAATGACATCAAATGTTAGCAGTTACATGACTGTTCGACAGTCCCCAGGGGGCAGGGCCAGTAGCCTGTGCACTCCTAGCCCCACTCCTGGGGAGCCCCCTGCCACGCTGCACTATTGCCTCTGTATCAAAGGCAGCTGTGCAAGGTGGCAGGTTCAGCTCCCTGAGCAGACTGGCTCCCGCCTGCAGCCCAGCGCTGCTGCCTCTGATACAGACACAGCAGTGCAAGGCAGCGGCAGCCCTAATCCACGAGGTGCCTGATACAGGCAGCAGGGGGGCAGGAGAGAGAAGAAGCAACTAGTGACCTGACTACCCGATAAGCCCGGGCTTATCAGTTAATCAACTACCCGCTTACATCTCTAGTACCCACTAAACTGGTCAGGAGTACAATAGTTAACAGTGTCACTAAATTCAATATTAAAATCCCGTAGATGAAGGGGCACAGTTCATGCTTCTGTTAGATCTAGCATTTCATTCATTCATTTGCAGACTCGGTGTGAGAGGGGCATTGATTATCTTCTAAAGGTTTTCTTCACAAAACTAGAAGACCTAAAAAATTCTGCAGAAACTACTGATGAAGTCAGAGATGTACCAGTACTGCATACCATCAAGTACTACTCAATCTGATCTGCAACAGAAGATTACACTGCATCTTCAAAGTACACAGTAAACAGCTCATTAATGTCAATTTCACATCTCTGCTCCTGCTCAAAGCAGGCACCAGAACAACCAGGATATGAGGGGAGGAGACACTTGGGAGGAAGAAAGGCAATTACACTCAAAACCAGACACAGTGAACAACAGATAAAAATCAATGTATCTGGAAGGAATTGGGGAGACAAATACACACTCCTTGCCAACTGCTGTCTGCACTATGTATTTGCAGTTCTATGCCATCATTGACTAGCCAGCCACTGGTGTAGCTGCACAGGTTCAAACCCCTTCTACAGACATAAAAACTGAAGCTCTCCCAAGTGCAACACTTCTCTGCTTGAAACCTGGTTAAACAGCACAGATGCAAATTGTAGCTTGCCCTATCTAAAGCAAGAGTTTACACCAGGGGTGGCCAACCTAAATCTGAGAAGGAGCCAGAATTTACCATTGTGCATTGCCAAAGAGCAACAGTAATATACATCACCAGCCCTGATCATCTCCCCACCACCACTCTCAGCACATCCTGCCCACTGCCAGCCCAGCCAGTCAGTGCCTCCTTCTCCTTTTTCTCCTGCCCACTGTGATCAGCTCTCTCTCAGTGGGAGACACTGGAGGGGGGAAGCATGGGTGTAACAGGCTCAGTGGAGAGGGTGGGAAGTGAGAGGATCCTAGGGGTGAAGAGTGGAGGGGGACAGTGCCTAGGGCAGAGCTGGGGGTTGAACCGTGAGCATCCTCCGGCCCAGTGGAAAGTTGGCATCTGTAGCTCCAGCCCTGGATTTGGAACCTATGTAAGGAGCCGCATATTAGCTTCTGAAGAGCTGTATGTGGCTCTGGAGCCACAAGTTGGTCACCCCTGGTTTACACCCACACAGCTCAAGTGCACCATTGTTTTACAAATGAGAGCTGAAATTGGGAGAATCCCCAGTGGGGACAAGGTCTTAGCAGCAAAGCAGAACTCAGATGTCAACTTCACGGCTACTATAAGTATCAACTGTCCAGTAAGAATGTAAAATCCCATTTAATTGGTTAACCAGTTTAAGGTGATGTTTAATGGGATAACTGATTAAAAGGTTAGCCCTCCCCCCAGTGCAGCTGGAATGCCACTCCCCCTCTGCCAGTAGGGGCTACTCTAGTCCTGCTGGAGAAGCCCCAGCCGACAATGTGCCCAGGCATGCCACAGACTATGAAACTCAGAGTGGTTTGGTCATTAGGGTATCAAAAACATCACATGGCTCAGCAAGATTAGAAAATTAAGAGAAATCTCAAATCTGTGCAACATTGTTATTAATTAAAGATGTTAAAGCATGTTTCTTTAGATAAATGTGTAACCACTGAACATTTCAACGATTACACTTTTG